TGTATGTATAGATAGATAGATAGATAGTTTAAAGGAAGGATATATTAATATGAGAAACATGAACAAGAAATATTAATTTTCAGGCAAAATGAAAAGTTTCTTTCTTTAACCAAGTTGACTCCACATGCAGATTCAAAGCATATGTAATGTGCTCTTAGTAATAGTGAATATAATAATCCTATTAATGACAAGTGAGATATTGTACATTGTAACTAGCAGCAATAATGGCAACAGTACTAATTTAAAAAAAAAAGTGTTTGTTCAACTCCTTCAATGTCACAGCAGTGGCATTATGACGCAAATGCTCCTTACTCCTCGCACGATTCAATGATGAAACCAATACATCGAATGCTCACTCATTACTAAAGATCCCTTTGCCAGTCCTTTCTGGCACAGTAGTGCCAACCTTCAAATGGGAGCTTGGTTTCATACCAACGTCAGAAGCAGGTCCTGGAACATTTGGAGGCTGCAGGTTCTGCTTAATCCGTCAGATTCCAACTGAGCAGCCAGCAGGAAAAGCTTCCTCTGATCAGCTACTGAACTCAGGGAGAGAGCCTCACGCAGCTCCGGGACGCTAACAGCGTCGGGCTTATCCTGGATGAGGGTATAAAAAGCATTTTAGTCCAAATTCACACTGAAAAATAAATCAGGGTGCATGGTACTCTATTAAAGAGATAGTCTACCCAAAAATTAATATCCAAACCTGTATGACTTCCTTCTGCAGAACACAAATGGAGATATTTTGAAATGTTAATTTGATGTTTGTCCTTACAATTAAAGTCAACTGGGTCCAGTGTTGTTTTAAACACCTTTGACTTTGTACGAGTATCAAATCATCAAACTATCAAATCAAGTTACCTATATTTATAGAAGCAGCTTTACTGTAAACTATCCCTTTAACTCAAAAAAAAAAAAATAGAGGCTAAAGATCTAGGAAATCAATATGGAACCTTTGGTTACCTGCTTGTTTCCCAAGACCACCACTGGAATATCAGTGTCTGCTTTAAGTAATCGATGGAGCTCGTCTTTGGCCTGAGGGAGCCGGCCTCTATCAGATGAGTCCACCACGTACACCAAGATATGTGTTCTCCTTAGGTAATCCACCCAGCACATTCGCAAGTCTTCACCACCTCCAACTGATGGGAAAAGATAATCAAAACAGGAATTGACTGTATGATGTGTTATTACTGCCATAGACAAAGATGAACAGGCTTTTCTAAAATAATAAATTTTAGGCAATAAGGCATTAACTGAATCATTATTACTTGTAGAGCAAGAATTAAAGTATCCCACATGAGAAATAGGAGCATACTGTTGTGAAAAAGAAGTGCACTTAATTGTATTGAATGTGCACTAGTAGTGTACTTCAAATTTAAAAAACTGAACTTACAGATAACATAATATCAATGAAATAAAAGGCAATGTAAGTGTTCTTAAGAGAGTACAGTTTTATTAACTACGTTTCGTAATACATTCAGCATAACACTTTAGCCATTACAAGACAAAAGTGTTAAGAAAATTACATATATGGATGTAAAGATGTACATAATCCTACTTAAATGGGCTAAAACACTGTCAAGTTTACACTCAAGTTGCATTTAATATAAATTTAAACTATAATACTGTATATTTTAATTTAAATAACATGCAATTAAGTGTCAGAAAACATTACATTTTAAAGTATTCTTTTAAAGTATATTCTTTCTGTAAAAGTACTCTTTTTAAAACTTTGCTAAATTGTACTTCTTCCTCACAAATGTATGCAAGTGAACAGGGTGGTCTGGCACTGATCCATACTTTCCAAGAAGTCCAGCTGGCATGCAGGTGTGTGTAGGCTGATGAAGTTGAAGCCACGTGTGGGTCGACAGCCCGTCCTGGAGCCCGCTCCACTCAGCCCCTGCAGAACGCTGCTCTTACCAGCGCCGTCCAACCCAAGAACAAGCACCTGCTTCTCACTGTGCTCCTCCTCCTCCTAAATATATACATGTTCATGGAAGAGAAGGGAGTGAAATGAGCAATGGAACAGAATTAGATTTAGAGTCTGCTTATCCAGAGTGTGGTGCTGGGATTTTATCGCAAGCTGCCGGAATTAATTATGCAATTCTGTGTACAAATAGTCAGAGTCTTGGTATCATTAATTAGTGTCTTAGTTGTGTAAAAACAGACAGACTGACTCGTTTTCTGTTACTTTGGCTACTCTGTTGCACTCTACATCAAATGTTACCATACTAGATTGTGTGGCACATACAGTACAAATTGTACTGTATTATTGTAAGTGTATTATTGCAACTTTATGTTCATAATGAATAATCCATATACTTTTTTGGCCAATGAACTTTCATGATCTTTCCCTAATGAATAGTTCAGAATATTTTGTTTACAGGTTTGACTGATTCATTGAAATGAACCGACTCAAAATAACAACTGAACATCATTTGAAAGCAATCTCTTCCAAGATCAATACCTAGCTGCTGACTGAAATATTATAGAGCTGAGCATAACCTAATATTTATATTCACTCGGCCTATAGAAATGTCCATGTCTTTAAGATAATTTTATGATATTATAGAGTATTCCATGGCCTTGGGAACTATATGCGCTTTATTTATATTTAGAGGAAACTATATCTAAATATCGTTTTTTTTTCTTTTTCTTTTTTGATAATAAACAATAATACGTTTGCAACAGTCTTTCATGCAGATGGATATTGAACTTTTAGTGAGAAATATTAAAAATCCATTACAAATAAAGAGAAATGAGATAATAAGACAAACAGGATTACTTTTATCTATACTATGATTTCTCAAAAAGTACATTTTAAGAATAATAATATAACCTGAATGCACATGAATACCTACAGTTCAATTTACTGAGAGTTCCCTTGACGATTGTCTCTACCTATCACGTGCGATAGGCGGCATCATAAAAAGATAAACTGTTTCTTTCGTTTCACACTCACCTCTCGGAACGTGTAGTAGTCTGACTCTGGTGTCCATACCCGTCTTTTATCAAAGAGATTGAGTGCGATAAACAGCGCGGTCCCGACCGCAGCCATATCGGGAGAGGGGGTTCAATCTTCAACTGGCTGGCAGGAGCCGCCACTGACAGGTCATGTGACCTGGCAGGTCACGTGCCCTGTCAGTGGCGGCTCCTGCCAGCCAGTTGAAGATTGAACCCCTACTGGATATCGGCGCTGAACGCCACGGAGATATGACGCAGTACAACCATGAGCTCACCTGAAGTTCGGTGCGCGAGCTGCTACTTTTGCTCTGCAGTGCACGTGATTCGCCCTGCTTGTTTTGAAAAGCACGCGCCCAGTTTCCTTATAGCGGGTGAGAGACTAGGGGCGGAGAAACCATACTGTCTTGAGATTGCAAAAAAATTGTTTCGTATGTTAATAATATTTATAACAACAACAATAATAAATTACAGTTCAACTTAAATTTGCTGTCTGAAAATTGTATTGTATATAATTATATAGATCAGTTGTTGTACCGTGGCATGTGTATGACATTAAAACTATGGTGTATACTGAAACATTTTTGGTTTAAAAGCAAATTACAAAACAAACAGAGACAGACAAAAAAGAAAAAAAAAAAGTTAAAACCGTCGAATAAGTCATCCTCTCTTCTGCTCGCCGTTGGAGGGCGTTGTTTAGTTGAAATTTGGGTGAGGACATGTTCTTTATTTTTTGGTAGAGATGCCTATGCACAGTTTAAAACGGCAACTGCACGCCCCTGGCTGTCTTTTTTGCACACTTCTGGGTTTGCTTTGGTTCCTTTGATTTAGAGTGAAAAGCAATTAACACACAGCTAAAGAGAAACACCTTGATTACTTTGCATTGATTCGTTAGTTAAGGTAACTGTTATGTCTAAAGGATGATTTAAAAATGCTTAAACACACAACCAAGGATACATTATTACAACGTGAATATTGTGCCCGTTTATGCTATTTTATTATTTTATTTTTATATTATTGATTTACGTAATTTTTATTTTGCTTGTCCATCTTTCTTTTTCTAATAAATATATAAAAAGTTTCAAACCCACGGAAATGGTATATGTTGCACCTTTTCCTATCAATTTGGGTTTTTCCTATTAATTTGGTATTTATGTGTAGGATTTAGCCTATAATAAATAATCATTGTTGCCAATACTGCCATCAGTAGATTCGTGCCAAGCGTTTGAAAGTACAATCGAGTTGAGTCAAAATAAAGTGAATTTGATACTTTTATTGATTTATTATTTTGTCTTCAACGTGTACTTTGTTATAATGTCAAATTTAAAGTTTTACTTCAAAGTATATTTTAAATAATTACAATTTAATAACATTTTGTTGTGCTTTAAAGAAGTACACCTTTTTTGTGTTGACAGGCTACTAAAGCACACGTAAAGCACTTTATATTCATTTTAACTTTAAGTTGTTTTTTTTAAAAGTTAATATATTCTAAATGTACTAAATAGCAACTTTATCATTACAGATGTGTAATTACATACATTTAAATACAGGACATACAAGTTTCAATAGAAATAAAATGTTATTTATTGATTGATTGATATTTATTGATTTATTCATGTATTTATTTGAGGAATTTTACATCATGATTTGTAAGCATTTTATGAATTAAATTGGGTAATTCAAAAACAACGCAATTCTTATTTTTTTTAAATGCTAATTTATTAACTGCTAGCTTACTTCTCTTGTCAACTATTCCGGGGCTTATTCAACCCCTCCGAAAAGTGATAGATGTCATTACTATCACACATTAATATTATCACACACTGAATTTTAAAAATCCACTTAAGAGTTGATCCTTATTCCAGGACAAGTGATAAATGTTCACAAAACCGCCCATACGTAATAAATAGGAAGAAAATTTCATTTATCATTTATAACGTACGAAATTATAAACCCTGTATTGGCTTGTGTGCACTGCTACTAGAAGGGCTACGGCTATCACCTGTATGACGTAATCCATTTCAACCGCAGCATAGCGACCGAGCTTGACTACGGGAGAGAACCGCACACAGCCACTTAAAGGAAAAGACAACATTAGGAAACAAATGGGAAAGAAACGCGCTACTTTCAAAAGAAATTGCTGAAATGCTGTGGAAGTGATTTGAATGCATCGACAAAACGAGAAGATACGGAATACGTTTGTATGGAGTAACTGTTTGCGTTGTCTATATAACGAGCTTTTGGGCTAACAGGCTAGCACAGTTGTCGCTAAAACATGGTGGGCGGACACTGAGCGAGGAAAAAAAACCACTAGACGCGCTCAAATATTTGTGGATAATGCTAGGGAATTAATTCGTTTGCTGTAATTACTGCTCATAGGGAATTGTGTGGACTTGGAAATTGCTTCTTGGTTTTCTTTTCTTGGAGGAAAACTCTCGCGCACGACCTTTGAAAGTTTCGCGTTCTGACGTTTCGCGCAAGTTAACCATCCATCAGGCTCCGCCAGAAAAGATGATTGATGTATTGCGTACTTGACCGAGAATGCACAAGAAACGAAGAGTTTCTCACCATAAGCGCAACTCTTGCGGCAAAGTTACCCGATTCAGAGCATCACGCCCTCATCCATTCATTTAACAGCATTCGCTCGTGAAAACAATGCTCAGTTTAGGCTGCAGGAACTGAACTGGAATATTGGAAACCGTATCATGGATTATATGGAATACATCTGTGTCTAATTAATGGCACTTTCCTTATGCGTTAGGTTTAAATTTGGACTAGTCCATGAAAAGCAACACATGGTTTGCTTTCAACTCAATTTAGAAGACTTACAGAGAAAATTACATGGAGACTAGTTGGTCATGCCAAGGAAGGAGTTACCATTGCCAGAGGGTTGGGAAGAGGCCCGAGATTTTGACGGGAAGGTCTATTATATAGACCATATTAACTACACCACCAGTTGGATTGACCCAAGGGATAGGTACGTGATGAGTACTGCATGTTCTGGGAATGCATTCTTGCTTATTCAGTAAACAGATGCATGCTGAGTCCATTACTCATGTGTACAGCTGTGATTCAGTGACTCAGTGATAATTCAGATCCTCTTTGTTTTGTAATACAATTCACTTCTCAAATCATACACACACACACACACACACACATACATCAAAGCACCTAAAATGGATGTATTTCAGGCTCAATTTCAGTGTTTTCTGATGTTGAAATATTGCTTTGTTCATCCAATGGAGATTTACCGCTGATTACAGAACCGGCTTTACTGATAAGATGCGCGTTAAATATCGCATGCGATTTATCGTGCAGCCCTACAGCATACCCACCTCCCTCCATCCCCCAGCATGCATCTCTCAGATGGCTGGTTCTCACTGCTGAGCAACAGTTAGTTGACAGGGTATTCTAATGTTAGTGGCTGGTAGGGCTGCACGATTAATCAAAATTAAATTGCAAAGGCGATAAATCGCGATAAGGCAGAAGCTGCTATTGTCATGTGTATCTTTCAGTGAAGCACGGTTCTATGATCCAAATATTGCTTTGTTCATCCAGAACCCATGATCAGTGCCAGCTTTACCACTTAAGTCCTCTTGGACTTTAACACAAAATCTGTGCAGGAATGCCTAAGATTATATTAGAATGTTTTCAAGCTCCACTGGCTCAAGCTTTGGTATGTTCAGCGATTGCGCACCGGGTGTGTTTTTCCTTTCCTCCTTTTAGCTTTTACCGATGTAATAATTTTACAGAGTACACAGAAATGGAAAAGTGATAGCAATCAGACTGCATATTTTTCCCCTTTGTGTGGTGCAACAGGTTTGCCTGTAGCCAGGAAACCCAAGATGGCAGAAAGTTGTAAACAAGTACCTGGGACACATTCCTTAGCATGAGCGAAAGCCCACAGCTGATTTCCTCAAATCTGTTTCACTGTGAGTCAAGGTGCACAACGGGTTCAAAGTGCACCCGAGCTATGCAAACTTTAACAAGAATGGTCAGATAGTTTTCAGCGCATTCCGCAATTGTTCGTTTGGTGCAAGAGCTGCGTTTTTGGTCAAAATGAATTCCACCTAAAAATTGTAATTATTTGCTCACCAACATGTTCGAAGCCTGAATGACTTTATTTTGTGGGACACCAATGAAGAGATTTTGAAAAATGTTTCTGTGTGTGTGTGTTTGTATTTTTGTCCATGCATTGAAAGTCAGTGGGGACCAGTGTTGTTTTGGACCCCGAAGACTTTTTTTGTAGACAAAAAACATCTTTTACAAATATCTTCATTTGTGTTTTACAGAAAAAAGTCAGTCATACAGGTTTGGAATGACAGTGGGTGTAATTAAATGGTATTATAAAGAAAAGGCAGAAAACGCCAAAGATAAAGAAAATGTGATGACAGATTTTTGGGGTGATTTGAAGCTGATATGTCAGCCCCACTCTTTTTCCATTTAACCCCAATGTAATTTTGTTTATACTGAAATGGTGCAGAAAAGTCAACAGCATTGAGCTGAGCAACTGAACGGAAACAAAAGCCGAGGCATAACAGATGTTTCCACGCTCATGCCTGGTCGGCTGGTCTTTCTTGCACAGTGTGGTGCATCAAAGGCGCTGATTAAAAATGACAAATATTTCTAATCCTGACCCAAAACTGTCAGCAGACTAGGGCTGCACGATAAATCGCATGCGATATTTAACGCGCATCTTATCAGTAAAGCCGGTTCTGTAATCAGCGGTAAATCTCCATCTAGGGCTGCACGATTAATCAAAATTAAATTGCAAAGGCGATAAATCGCGATAAGGCAGAAGCTGCTATTGTCATGTGTATCTTTCAGTGAAGCACGGTTCTATGATCCGCAGTAAATCTCCATCCGAAGGCCAGAGGGCGCTCTCGCGCTGAAACTCCAAATACGCCCCGCAGGAGAAATCAGGAAATCCCTATAACGGTTGCCGAATAAACAGAAGATTTAACTGCTTTCATTGATTCAACGTGACTAATAAACACACGACTACGACAACATGGTTTATCTGAGTTTGTCTTATAATTTTTATTATAATAAAGTATATAATATTGCAATGCTAATCAACATAGCCTTTATACTGCTTAGAATACTATGAAATATGTTGTGTGCCTTATTCTGTGTAAGAAGCCACATCATCTCACAGAAGGATTTATTTCAAACACTCGACTGACGTTATGAAGTGAGTTTGGAGTAAAAACATGTTATTAAATGTGGTATTTTCACATGCTTTCAGATGGAGCAGCATTTACTACACAGAGCCGTAGTTCACTGAGAAGCTATGCAAACAGCTGTCATTATCACGAACGATTTTTTTCGATTTCAGATTTAGATTTTTTTGCGTAACTTGTCAGTGAACAACGGCTATGTGTAGTAAATTCTGCTCCATCTGAAAGCACGTGATGATGATTTACTGCTGATTACAGAACCGCTTTACTAACAAAATGCGCATGACAATCGCATTCGATTAATCGTGCAACCCTACTCAGCTCAGTGAAGAAAGTGCACAGATATTTGTAGGTGTTGTATTTCATGTCATGTTTTCATTAACCTTGATTTCTTGCAACTTGTGTGCTTTTTCTGTGTGAGTCGAGAGTGAAATGCTGCACAGAAACCAACGGCCAAAGTCAGGAATTTCATTAAATAATACATTAGAGAGCCGTAGTTCACTGACAAGCTACGCAAACAGCTTTCATAATCGCAGAACGATTTCTTTGGGTTCATAATCGCGTGATTGTATCATCTGCGATTATGAACACGATTTTGTGTAGCTTGTCAGTGAACTATGGCTCTGTGTAGTAAATGCTGCTCCATCTGAAAGCACGTGATAGAGATTTACTACTGATTACAGAACCGGCTTTACTGACAAGATGTGCATGACAATCGCATTCGATTGGGTGTACTTGTTAATGAGCTTGGTAATTGACAACCTTCCTGTGGCAAATGCACAGAGCTGCTGAGGTGTTGCCTGCCCTCTAGACATTAAGTACTACTAATTATATGCTGCTTGGAACTGTTCGAAAATTTTGGTTGGGTAATTTACGTGTAATATTAATGCTAGTGTTAGTCTTCATGTAGTTTTTTTTTTGCTAAATAACCAATACAAGCAAACCAACATTTGTTTAATAAATCACCCGAAAATGAAACAAATGTAACAAATTTTCGTTAGCTGCTAGATTCTGTTTCACATGTTTCATGTTCAAATGCTCCTAAAAATTAATTGAAGTAATTTGAAGAATATGTCTCTCTACTGGACCAACCCTGTTTATTGCAGCGAGTCTTTTTGTGTTTTTTTTTTTTTTTTTTTTTGGAGTAGCTGTGTATTTTTGAGTAGTCTTCCTGGTTCCCTGATATTATGTATCATTCTCATATATATATATATATATATATATATATACCTCCTGATATTATGATCATACAACAGTGTGTAATTTTTTAGAAGGAAGGACTTGCAGGCCTAAATCAGTTTTGTGTTTTGCCAGATTGGGTTTGTTACATGCCGTTTGTTTACATATTACATTTGTCAGGGTAAACCAAATATTAAGACATTTAATGCAATTTTTTTGACTTTTCACTTAAATTCTTGATTAAATTGGAAATAAAAGCATTATCATTTGTGGTCTCAGACTTTTGGATCTACTGTTTATGATAGAATTAGAACTTTAGAAACATCAGATGCCTCATACTTTGTTTTGTTGTATTTGTAAAGTTGCAAACATGTTGTCTAACCACATAAATGCAGAGAAAGCATTCTTGCGGCCTGCCCTCATGTACCACACTGGGCGGAACTGTTTTGTTTTGCCTCAGTGTGACATTCTGAAAGCATGCGCTCAGGTAAATGGAATGTTATCTCGCTCTCTCTGATAGGAGACTGGCCGTCGTCGGGATGTAGCAGCGTGCTTTTATTGTCGGACCTTGAGCATGGTGTGCTGCTAGTTGGAGCCTCATAAATGACTAGGGAATTTATGGAGTGCGCTGAATTAAAGTGTCTGACTCATCAGTTAGATATGTCCTGTGTTTGCACTCGACTGTGTGCTTTGTCATTTTGCATTAGACCATGGGTCCTGAGTCTTTGACTTCATAGGGTTTACTAGAGCGTCAAGAAAAGAACGGGAGACCTGTCTGAATCCTTTCTGCAAATTTTGTTTTACATTTAAAAAAGCAGGCCATTGCACCATATTCATTCCATTCCTTCCTAATCATTCTAATGCGCAAATCTCAACATCATGCTTTGGGATTGGGATTTTGAGCTTTTGAGTTCCCTTGGCCCTTGTCCATTTAAAGATCTCAGATACTCAGGCTTAAGCTCCGAGATTAATGTCACCCATTCAGATGAGGTGTCAGTGAGTCTGGAGAATTATGGGATGAGAAAAAGATGCGTGTTTCTCACTGTAGCCATGTTCTTTGTTGTGTCGCATAAGTTTCTTTTCCCAGAGTTAAATTTAGAACAGGCCAGTGGGGGTCTCTCAGCACAGTTTCATTATTCATAACATGAAAAAGGAGCTAGTTCAGTCTCACCCTCTTTGAAAGTCTTGAATCGAAAGGGGAAGGCAACAGCATGCGCTCACTTGCTGCAGACAACTGTAAGATGATTTGAATCAATTGAATGAAACTGCTTGCCTTGGAACTGAAGATATATAATTCCAAGCCATTCCATATATATAATATACAAAATTAAGATAAAAGTATCTCTTATAAAGAGTAGACTCTTTATAAAATTATAAAGTTTATTTAATATAAAAGTAGACACTTTCAAGTTGTCAAATGTTGGTGGTCCATCGTTCATGTGATGAGTAGGACACCTGTGAGGACTTGAGAAATGATACATCCACTGAAAACCATTCAACACCAGTCGGTTAAAAGTCATTGCAAAAATGGCTCAGAAAAGTGGTTAGTTCTGAGAAAATAAGCATTTGTTTGCAGATGCCACTTGATTTTATATTTTGTTTCTTATTTAATAAATTAATATATTACGTGTGGCTTATGTGACTTATTTTTTGTTTAAAATGGATTAATCCTTTAAATATGCTGCACACATCAGATTTAATGTGGAATGTTCCTGATAATCTGAGAAGCACAGAGCTGAATTCATTGCATAACCCTGCTTCTGGATGTAACGGCATCAGAAAATACTCCTCTCAAAGTCTGAAAGTGGAAGTATTCGAAATTGGGAAATATGACATTCCTGCTCTGCACAAAAACAATGCCTGAACCTAAACTTAAATCTTTTGTGGTGGTTGAAAAACTCATAACAGGTTAAGAAAAAAAAAAAAAATATATATATGTTAAGATATATAGAAATGTTGCAAGGAGTTGTTCATTACTGCACCATATACCGTTCAAAAGTTTGGTGCATTAAATTGATCAAAAGTGACAGTAAAGACATTTTTAATGTTATAACAATATTTAAAATAAATGCTGTCCGATTAAACTTTGTGCTCATCAAAGAAACCTGAAAAATTAGATCACTGTTTCCACAAATATATTAAACAGCACAATTTCCAAAATCATTTTTCAGGGATTGTACAGTGCAATAACTTTTATACTAACTATTGACCTGTTTGTAAAATTATCTTATCAGTAGGAGTCAGGAGTATAGTAGGTAATTTAGGACAAACGTAATAGCCTAAATATTTTTAATTTTTTCAACCCAAAGCTAAAAGTATTTTTTTTGTTTTTTTTCCAAAGTATTGTTACCTGATGCCTTTGGTTAGCATAATGATTAGCATCCTTCTTATATCAGGTTTGTGATAAACCTCCTACCCTAGGCTCTTTAAATTTACTCTAAAATCCCAACAAGCTCTTTTTTTTAAATTGATTAGTCTAGCTAGCGAGTGCCAACAGCACTCTCCACTGAAGCACTGAAGTTCAGCCAGACTACTTTGCTAGCATTAGCGAACACCTGCTAACAAAAGTTTTAGCGTGCTGTTTTTGGCCAAGTGAGCGTCCCAATTGCTCTACGGTGATCCAAAGCACTGGGCTTGGAGAGCCACAGTGTGTTGCCTCAGAAACCTCCAGGCGATGGGTCAGCAGGACCTGTGGAATGCCCGGCTTGGGTTTCCGGCTATTGTGCTCGGCCAGCACACTGGAGGTGAATAGCCTGACATTCCTCTGATGCCCCTCCCCCCCCACACATGCTTGTGCCACGCTCAAATTCTCAGTTATATGCTGGAGTGACATCCCCACAGAAAACAGGCATGAAGTGTGGAGGTCCAACATCACACTGTTTTCCTTGTGATTGTTCGTTGACTGACAGTTGGATTCTCTATTTGATTTTCCAGGCAGACTAAGCCTCTGACTTTTGCAGACTGTATTGGAGATGAGCTGCCTGTGGGATGGGAGGAGGCCTACGACCCCCACGTTGGAGCCTATTATGTCGACCACAATACCAGTAAGTTGAGCAAGATTCAGCCCACCTCACGCATGCACAGGAGTATATAGAGTGTCTGATATGTGATTCTGTGGTTTTAAACCGATTAAGTGTCATATTTAATTTGACACAAATGAAAACAAGGCTTTGAGAGACAAAACAGAATTCATTCAGTGGCCCTCATTCATGAAAAATGACTAGAACAAATTTCTTTGTAAATAATTTGTTACAAATGCCCAGTATATTTGGACACACCTATTTAAAAGTGTTGTTTTAGTATTATTTTTACACAATTATAGAATTCATTAATATTTTGAATTAGTTTTTTTATATTTTCAGTTTTAATTTTTGTTGAAGTTTTAATGATTTTATGTGATTATGTATTTTATCATTTTTATTCGTTTTTATTTTTTAAGTTTCTATTTAGGTTAGTTTTAGTAGTTTACCTCAATTTAAGTTTATTTTATTACAGCTAATTGCCAAGAGAACATTTCTAATTTCTCAAGTTTTTCATCTAATATTTATTGTTTATTTCAGCTTTATTTCATTTATTGAAAATGATTGTTAATGGTTTTAGTTAACAACAATGCAACTGATGAGCACAGTTTTTTTGCTGCTTAATATTTTTGAGGAAACTGTGATACATTATTTTTTCAGGATTCTTTGATGAAAATAAAGTTAAAAAGAACAGCATTTATTTGAAATAGAAATCTAAACAGCAAAAACTGTTTTCAACATTAATAATAAGAAATGTTTCTTGAGCATCAAATCAGCATGTTAGAATAATTTCTGTGTAATGGCTGCTGAAAATTCAGCTTTTCCATCACCGAAATAAATTACACTTAAAAAAAAAAATGAAAACATTGCATTACTGTTATTACTGTATTTTTGTTCAGATAAATGCTGTCTTGGTGATCATAAGCGACTTATTTTAAAAACATCACAAACGTTTGAACAGTAGTGTATTTATAAGTCGAATTACATAAAAAAAATTAAACTTCACTGAAAAATCATGATTCCAAACTTTTGACCGGTAGTGTATGTATTCCACTAATTTAAGATATTTTTATCTCTCCTTCCCACAGAGAGCACCCACTTGGAGGATCCGCGGGCTCAGTGGCAGCGGGAGCAGGAGCTCATGTTGCGGGATTATCTGAACGTGGTTCAGGAAGCATTGAGTGCCCAAAAGGAGATCTACCAGGTCAAAGAACAGCGACTTCACCTGGCCCAGCAGGAATATCGGCAGCTAAATGATGCTTGGCGGGACAAGTCGTCCTCACAGACTAGCTGTAAGACTTGTGACTCTGTACCTGTGTCTGTCACTTAAAGATTGTTCATATTTCTGAGCTACTTGACACTGATTCTTGAGACATGGGATAAAACAGGCTATAAGCAAGTTTGTGTATTAAGGAAAACTAATTCTGATTAATCTGTTCATCATGTTTAGAATTATTTTCCTTTCACATTGTCATAAAATTTGTCACGCACTATAGGTCAACAATGTGAAAAATAAAAATGAATAAATATTACAAATATAGACAAACCCCCGCCCCCCCCC